ATTATTGACCCGAAAGTGCACAAAAAGCAGACTCCGACGCTCCTCACGGTCCTGACATGCACCATGCGTTGAAATGTTACCGATAGCTGCTACCGTTTTTAAACTATAGTTAGAAATGTAAGAGGTTTATCTCTCATTCAGAACAATAGAAAGGCTCTCCTTTCACTGCACATCTCCATGGTAACCTTTGATCTCTGGGCTCACACACACAGGTGTTTGATAACGTCGTCACCTCAAACACATAGACTGGAGTTTAAAGACTGTCTCAGCCTATTATTTTCTGTCTGATGGAGACTTCATACTGACTTCAACATGTTCCACATTTTTCTATACATTATTGGTGACGTATGGTTTTAGTTCAAAAGTTTGCAGTTAAAATATTCTGATGCTTTTCAAAGCGTTTTTACTTTCTTTTCTCTTCTTAACCTGTTAAGCTTCTTTTTTTTTTTTTTCACGAAACTGTGTCTCAGGGCTTCTTAACATTTAACAACCTATTAATGTGTCATACCCACTTAACAGGAAGAAACCCAGCTAACTGACGATATGAACCATTTTTACCGAAACGAAACACAAGGGTATTACCAAGCCTCTGAATTAGCACTGAGCGAAAAAATGCTAACGCACTTAGCACAGAACTCACAGTAGAAATATTGTATTACTTATCGAATCTGCAAAAACAATATATCAGATTAAAGCTGAGATTCCACAGATTCTAGAGGTATAAGTATCATCACTGTGCGACCAAAACTCAGGGCAGCGAAGGCAAACCCAGACCACACACAACGTAGCTTTACGGAGCCAAAATGGCAAATATGTCTTACCTTTGCTGTTTTCTGATCAAAAGTTGTGTTCAATGGCATTAAAACGATAAAAACGCTGCTGAAGGTTAATCCAATGTGTCTGTGTCACTTTGAAATTATTACTGATAATCCATCATTCCATTTTTGTCAAAAACGGAGATTTCATATGTGTGCGAGAGCTACAACCCAGCTTCCGGTTTTGGGCATGCATCACTCTATTCACCAATGGTAATGTTTAGATGGATTTTAGGAACTTCCCCTCGATTGTATTGGCTCTAATGGTTCAAAAGAGGTGTCAATCATCAAAATCGACCAATGGGTTCCAGAGATATGGAAAATCCACCCAAATGACCCCAGAAGTGTTTTTTTTTTCTAAATCTCTCTAAAAAGCTCAAATGTCTCTTGTTTTGCATCAATCTTGATACAGGGTACTTATTATATGTTATAGTTTGGATTCCTAAAGCTTTTAGTCTACTATCCCATCATTCAAGGGTGGTTTTCACTATACAGTAAGTAATGTTTTTTTTATGGACGGACACTATAATTTACATTTTTTTACTATGTTCAATATGAATTTACTTTAAAAAAGTGCCCCAGTTCTGATTGGCTGGGCAAATTGCAAACCACGCCCCGTACAACTCTGAAATGTTTTGTAGAGCTGCCATTTTATTATCCTGGCATTAGCATTATTAGCATTAGCATTCGCCCAGTGCACAAACGCAGAGAGACTAACTTATGGCAACACAAAATAAAACATGGGAGCGGTGGAGATGAGGAGGTGTCGGCGTTCCGGCGATTTACTCGGAAGGCTTCAGTAGAAGCTGCTGGGACTCCCAGGCTATACATGTTGTTGTTTATACCTTTTTTTAAACCTTTTCTTTTAAATATTAAGCTTCTTCACTATTTTTCCTGCTCTTCCAGTTTAACATTTCACTTTCAAGTTTTTAACAAAGTCATTGCAATGCATTTGAGCTGTAACAATTTCATTCAAATCATTTCACTTTTCTGCATTTCTCTGCTAAGTTCAGCAACACACTGACTTGGTCTCTGTAGCTACAAGCAGCTACCATTCAGCTAATAACATATTCAGCTTTTTCTGCATTTTCAGCTAAATTCAGCAACAAATGTACACAGTTTACAGCATTCGCACGCATTTTCTGCAGGAAATGCATTTTCTAGTTTAACCTAAGTTACCATAATGGATTTGCCATTGACTGAAATTGGCTCAATTTATTTGACCACACGTTTTCAGAACGTTATAAAACCCTCATGTCACAACATATTTCAAAGTGTATGCAGAGCGAGATTTGAACATGTTCAATAGAAATGACAATAATTGTACGGACATTAGAAGCAGCACTGTTGTCATCTTTCTGAATGCAGAGTTTAGGTGATGACAAATTAGTTTTGCAACTGTCAGAAAAACATTCCAACATTTATAAAAAGGGATTTGGAAAATTACTGATGGATCCTACATTTCCATCCCTACAGACATGATACACCCTTTAACACTTTCCAGGGATATTGTTCTCTCTTAATAAATGTCTATACATTGGGGAAACCATAGAAAAAGATGCTCATCGTATCTCAAGAACCTGCCTTTTTACATTTTGTACAGTGAAAAAGTATTTCAGTCAACAACACCACTCTTGTTACTGCCTGGTATACTTGTGTTTGTGAGAAACAAATATTTGCGAGTTAAATTATCTAAAGCTGTTGAATAAAACTCGATTAAAATAAAAAAAAAGTAAACTATTATACATTTGTGTTCTTTTTGATGAACACAAATGTATTCTCTTGTGGTTCAAGTTCAAATATATTACAAAACATTAGCCACATAGTTATAACTGTACATTCATAAAATCCTCTAAATGATGATGTCAACAAAGTGAGAATGTTTTTCACTGCTGTTTGCATCTGACTGGCTTCAGACTGAGAGACAAACACAAACCATGAGCCCATCTGACCTGCGAGAACACATTCCTTCTGGCCAGACCACCGTCTTACACTCCTCTGTCTGCTCCCGCTCCAGATGTTGAGCACACAATGTGCAGAACACTCTGTGTGTGTTTGGTTGTGTAGCTCAGAGACTGTATGCCTAAGATCAATCTCATTTAGTGGATACGCTTCTCAGGGGAGAGAACAGATCAAAGCTTTTGGTCAGATGTTGATGCTGCTGTATATCAGTTTTTTTTTGGTTTGGTTTGGTAACACTCACATTACTGGGTTTAATCTGTGGATTTCTGGAGTGTGTTTGGCAGTTAATCTGGCTGTGGTGGTTAGAGGCTGTCTGTATGAGAACGGCTGCAGGAGTGGAACTGCATGTTCCAGGCATGCTCAAAGAAAATATTAGCTCTCAGTAAATCTACTCTGAGTAAATGAAGGCATATACAAAAAATATCCAACCTGCATAGGAATCGTGCTCAATTTAGGGGAAAACAAGCATACAGGAAGCAAGGCATATTTCTTTATAGTTAATAAGGTCCTCAGCTAACTGCTTCTTTCTCTGGGACTTTGTGGGGATATGTGGCTCGAGGGTTTTGGTAACCAGAAGGAGTCTGGCCGTGATGCTGATACTCGTTGGGGGCTGATGTTGATGTTTTCATTCTTCTATAACTTTACTAGAAAGATACAGCTTTTATAGTCAAACATACAATACATATGATATATATGGTAAATATAAAACTGTACTCAGTTCCTCCTTTCTGCTGCTTTCACCATGCTGATAAAAGACAACAAAGTGCTTTTTGAATAAAATAATGAAAGGAAATGATTGTGTACATTCTTAAACAAATTGAACATTGTAGTTGAAGAAGTAGAGCACTCTACTGATACAAATGTAACTCTAAAAAGGGCAATACTATATCAGTCTAAAACCTGTTTACTGTGTAATGTGGACACTGTGATGACAATAAAAAAAGAAAAAGATATATATTGTGCAGCTTTTGATAAAGCTATTGAGTTCTATTCATGCATTCTCTTTACTCAACAAACATTAACTGAAGAACATTTAAACTTCATTAGGTTATTTTTAGGTTTCATTCATTAACATTTCCACATTTAATAGATATAGTAATAAAGAGAAAGGTTCCCGACCTGTGGTAACATATAAACCAGTCTCATATGCTTAATACTAAAACTGCTAATTGAAAGTATAACAGTTTGAGAGGTGAAATCATCAACAACTGCATTTTGAATAGACTCAGAATGAGACTGCATGAAAAGACGCCAAAACAAAAGGTGTTCATCAACACGGTGTCCCCGGAGAGACGTGTCCCCTGCCCCCCCGCTGCTGGTTACTTTCCTCCCAGGCCGGATACTCACTGGAGAAAACAGCTCCTCGGAAAATAAGCAGCATATGCTAGAACAAGGAACGCCAATTCAAAAAATACTTGTTCCTTAACATGAGCGCAGCGTAAAGAAACTGAAGGGAAGTTTAGAAAGGACTTAGTTGTCTGTTGCAAATTCTCCAAAACATTGTATTATACTTGCGTACTCAAAAATGGTGAAGGAGGAATGGATAACAATCCCAAACTGGCGCCCACCCACTAATTATGGTGTGGGTACAAAGAGATTTTTGCCATTCTAAAGGGAGAAGGGGAGTGTAGGTGTATTCATTCCTGTTTCTTCCTGCTCCCTCAACTTGGAAGTTCAGATTTAGAAAAATAGACCCCCCTCCCTCAAAAGAAAAGAAAAAACAAGAACTGTCACATTGACTGATGCCACTCTCGTGTATCTGTGTTCCCACCACTGCTCCCTGTAGTATATGCCACACTGTGGCAATGTGGGAAACTGACAATGTCAATTTATCAGAACAAAAGAATTCCTCAGCAAGAGGAATACACATCTTCGGGCCCTGGAGACAAAAATCATTCCACCCCCACCCTTACCTGTATCTAAACAGAATGTAGGACATTCACAACACCAGAAATAGAAATTTCACTCACAATTATCATTTCCGAATGTATCCCCTGCAGTCAGAAGTTAGGATCTCACTTTAGGAGTTAGAGCTGCACTTTAATGCTAACTTTCTCAAAGTAAACAATGAGAGGCAGCAGGATGAGCAGCAGCGGCAACCAAAGGGGGGGCAGTGTAAATAAAGTGTTCTGGATCCATTCTGCCCTAAATCATTGTCTCTCAGGGAAACTTGACTTTTTTTATTGAATTTGAGCTGTATAATTATGTTGTGTTTCTTTCCAGGTGTCTGATCCTGAAGTCCCCACCATCACTTCAAATTTGGGTAAGTGCTCAGCCTAGTTTTCACCTCCTTTCTTTGTGCCATTAACTAATCTCTTGCCTGTTTTTCTTTTCATTCATATTATTCACCACCTTTTTCTTATTCGCAGACAATATAAGTATATATATAATGACCTTAAGTTGAATTATCCTTACTAGCTAGATATTTCTCTGTGTCGTCGCCTAGGCCCAGTCTTTTCCACATCTCACATGAACATCTCTAAGACTTGGTTGGGAGTAATCCTGAATCCACTAAACATTTTCTTTCCACCATTCCCTCTTTCCTACACTTTTCTCCAAATATCTTAATATAATGATAATAAAATGATTTAAATGTTTTGAATAATTTGCATTATATTTTAGATCCCATTTTTTGACCATGCGGAAAATCTGCCATGTGGTGCAACTTTAATGGGTTGCTTGGAAATAGTTATTTCTCTGTGAATGTGTGATGATTCATGCTTAAATATAATCTCATTTGAAATGTATCATCTTAATAGTACATTAACTAGGGTATATAATGTCAGTAGTGGTCATTAAGAGCTTTATGTTGCAGTGCAATGCAGACATTCAACCAGAACATTCCATATTTTGGATCTAAAGTTTTCTCTTTTTTTAATAAATCGAAGGCTTAAGGTAACTTAACTCTGGTTCTTATTTAAAGAATGTTTTGTAAAACCAATCACACTATAGCCATTTTCATCAGATTTAAATGTTGAGATAATATGTTCCATCTCAAATATTTTGTTGTATTGAACTGTAAATTCAAGATTCAAAGGCTTTAATATCACATGCACACTAGCTACAGTGTAGAAATGGCAATGAAAATCTGAAGTCTCAAGCTCCTCCAACAATGCAACATAGTTATATAAGACATAACACAATAAAACAAATACAAAAATAAAAATAGTGCAAGAAGAAACAGAGTAGAATAGAATTGTGCAGATTATGTTGCAGACCAATGTAAAGTAATTCAGAAGATGAAGTAAACTATATACATGTCAGCAAAATAAATAATGACAATAAGCTGAATCATGCAGAGAATGTTGGAAGTGACCAAGTACATTCAGGAGTCTATACACATGTAATAGAATAAGATATATACAAGAACGGAATGTAATATTCAATATTGTACAGTAAAATACAATTAAATACTGTTTATTACAGTGATAACTATTTCAAATAAATAAATTGCAAGATGCAAACGGATGAATGTTATGAACCCGTGTATCTACGGTCCATTTGTTTTTCTTTATTGAACAAGTAAACGGAAGAGCGTCTGCGAGGCGTTTTTGCTTTTTACCTTACTAAATGGTCAAATGGTCCTAAAGACTTTCCAAGGTGTAAAAATGCTGCTGCCGGAGTACTGACTGGAAGTATTGCTGATATCAACCATCCTCTTAAAATACTCTGTCCAACAATATCAGTCTCATGAAGAAAGGTTTTTTAACGCTTATTCAAAATAGCAGAGAAACATGCATTCTTGTTCTCAGGAGGGGACATTGACAGAGGATTATTGGAAAAGTACACAGTAAGTACTTCATAGTACATGTGGGGGTAGTTTGGAGGGCACAATGGTGTTGAAAGCTGAACTGTAGTCAATGAACAGCATTCTCACATATGTGTTCCTGTTCTTCGGGTCCAGGTGTGAGAGGGCAGTGTGGAGGGTGAGGGCTATGGCGTCGTCTGTGGACCTGTTTGCTCTGTAGGCAAACTGCAGGGGGTCCAGAGATTCAGGGAGGGAGGAGGTGATGAATAATTTGACTAACCGCTCAAAGCACTTCATTATGATGGAGGTGAGTGCTACTGGGCGGTAGTCGTTGAGGCTGGTAGTTATTGTCTTTTTGGGGACAGGAATGATGGTGGAGTGTTTGAAGCATGTGGGGACTACAGACTGCAGCAGGGACCTGTTGAAGATGTCTGTGAACACCTCTGCCAGCTGAACTGCACACACCCTGAGTAGTAACCTTCGGTACCACGTCATTGATGCATTTCCCAATGTAGCAAATGACCGTGTCCGGGTGTGTGTTGATATTGTTGTCCTCAAACACACTCCAATCCATAGATTGAAACCAGTGCTGCAGAGCTGAGTCTGACTCCTCACTCCAGCGTTGTATAGTCCGTGTCACCGGTCCGTCCCGTTTGAGTTTCTGCCTGTAAGCAGGCAGCAGCAGCAGTGAGATGTGGTCTGATTTGCCGAAAGGAGGGCGAGGGAGAGCCTTATATCCATGTCGCAAAGGGGAATAAACATGGTCCAGTATGTTTCCCCCGCGCGTCGGGCAGCTGATGTGTTGGTAGTACTTCGGCAGGACTTTCTTCATATTAGCGGTGTTAAAATCCCCGGCGACAATGAAAGCCGCCTTTGGCCGTGAAGTCTCTGTCCTGTCGATCACACCGTACAGCTCGTCCAGTGCTGTGTTGTTGTCGGCGTGTGGCGGAACATACACTGCTGTAAGCACAACCAATGTAAATTATCTTGGCAGATGAAAAGGCCGGCATCCGATCATGAGGTGCTCTAAATGAGGAGAACAGTCTGGAGAAATAACCCCCATATCCGAGCGCCAGTTATTGTTCACCATAAAGCACACACCACCTCCCTTACTTTTCCCTGAGTTCTCCCGTTTCCTCAGCCTCACTAGCCCTCCGGCCCGGGACCCCCGCTTTGTCTTCCTCCTGCGCCGCTTAGGTATAGCAGCCACAACGACAGGTAGCCATGGCGATTTCCCATTGTCTTTTCTCGGTGATAGACTGCTGTCAACACAGTTTTTGAACTAGAAGTTCCTCTCTGCTATATTGTATAGCAGAGTTGGTGTGGTAGGCTTGCATGTTGCAGACAAAGTTAAAAGCACACACTGAAATGTTAACAAACACTGAAATAAAACGAAAAAATTATTGTAGAGAAGCCAAAGACACGGCAGCCATCATTACAGGCGCCATTTTTTCATGAAGCATGAATTGAACATGTGAACACGCATTCTGGCCCTGCAACAGCTTAACAGTTGCACAAAAGAAATTGTGTATTTCTGTAATTATGATGATTCAATATACAAATACTTTTATTTCACACTTTTATTTGATTCCATAGTTCTTTTATTTTGCACATGATTGAAAAATGTATCATTGAGTTATTGAATATGAGAATGTTTTACAGTTGAAATTCCTCTGGCTATATCTTTTTGCGTAAAGTGTTGTTTTAATGACACATAGAGTGCTCCTATAATCAATTCTTGATGTTTTCAACTACATTGGTTATGAAAAACAAAAGCTCTGTGTTCAAACAGAGCTTTGTCCAGTTTCTCTCTCTTCCTCTGATGGACATGAATCACATCGCTCCAGTGTTCCACCAGTCCGGCTGAAGTTGCCTGCAGCATAGTTATGGATTGAATATTTAGTGGAGGTTCGGTCCGTATCTGTCAAAGCACCGCTTCACAACTACGTGGATTTGTGCTCGATGTTCACACAATAAACTGGACTGGACTGATCATTCTGCTGCTCTGTACAAGAAGGGACAGAGCAGACTCTTTCTGCTGAGGAGACTGAGGTCTTTCGGGGGGCAGGGGGCACTCCTTCAGACTTTTTACGACTCTGTTGTGGCATCAGCCATTTTCTATGGTGTGGCCTGCTGGGGCAGCAGCATCTCGGCTGCTGACAGGAAGAGACTGAACAGACTGGTAAGGAAGGCCAGCTCTGTCCTGGGGAGTCCTCTGGACACTGTGGAGGTGATGGGAGACAGGAGTCCTCTGGACACTGTGGAGGTGGTGGGAGACAGGAGTCCTCTGGACACTGTGGAGGTGGTGGGAGACAGGAGTCCTCTGGACACTGTGGAGGTGGTGGGAGACAGGAGTCCTCTGGACACTGTGGAGGTGGTGGGAGACAGGAGTCCTCTGGACACTGTGGAGGTGGTGGGAGACAGGAGTCCTCTGGACACTGTGGAGGTGGTGGGAGACAGGAAAATGGCAGCCAAGCTATCCTCCCTGCTGGACAATATGTCCCACCCCCTCCAGGACACCCTGTCCTCACTGTGCAGCTCCTTCAGCGACAGGCTGCTGCACCCCACCTGTCACACGGAGAGATACCACAGGTCCTTCCTTCCTGCAGCGGTCAGACTATACAACCAGCACAGCCCCTAGTAGACCCCCCCCCCCCCCCCCCCCCCACACACACACACACACACACCACAGCACAGACTATAACACCCCTTGCTGCTAAATACCAATCAACTATGTGCAATATGTGCTATATGTGCAATATATATATGCCGTTAATAACTGTGTAATTTATACCTGGCTGCTACAGTAAATCCTTAGAACTGTTACAAGGTGTGTTTGTTGTATTTTGTATTTTGTAAATTGTGTAACTTGCTGCTGTTAAATACCATCAAACTATGTGCAATATGTGCTATATGTGCAATATATACATTATATACATATGCCATTAATAACTGTGTAATATATACCTGGCTGCTAAATCCTAAGAACTGTTACAGGATTTGTATTTTGAAAAGTATGTAACTTTTTCTTTTTAACTTTCTTTTCTTTTCTTTTTTATTATATTTTTATTATAACATAACTTAGTATTTTTTTTTAAAATAGGTAACATTAAGCTGTCTGTGGCTCTTTCCTGCTGTAACGATGCAAATGTCCCCTCTGTGGGACTAATAAAGGTATTCTGATTCTGATTCTGATAACATGCAGACATCGAAATGAGTGAGCTTTAAGGTGCTTATGTTTAGCAAAGCATGCACAGTGGTTGCATACCAACATTTGATATATTTCTGAAACAGATGGCAAGGTGCTCATATGGGAACCTGAGCTCTTCTTCTCTGAATATGAAAATGTTGAACAGGTGGTCCAAAGACGCTTCCTTCCCCACTCCGGCTTTCATTAACACACTTTTATTCTTCTAGTAATAATAAGCTTACTTGTGCCCTGAGATATAGGGCAGACGAAAGAGCTGTTCTTAATTTTAATAGGCAAAAACCGGCAAAACTGTGGCCTTGATATG